GAAGGCTTGTGGCATGAGTATCTGGAAAAGCTAGCATACAGAGGGCAGCACAAAACAAGAATAGCTTATCTTGTGAGAAGAGAGAAGTACCTATCAGAAAAGTCAAATTCAGATAATCTTATGAAAAAAATTGTCTAATCATGCTGTATTAGCACCATACACTCACCATCAATGATTGGCAAGAGGAAGAGCCTGCTATTCACCACAGTGGTAATGGGAACTATAAAATTACACTGAACCATTTTTAAGTTAATTTTCTATTCCTTTTGTTTTCTTTTCCCTTAGTGATTGTCTCATTATAATACGTATTAAAACTTTGTTATATTGAAGTAAATAACCCAGATTACATCACAATGATTTTGATATTGCTCCATTGAAAGTACTCCTCTGCAGGATGTTAAATACTGTTTGAACTTGCATTGTATTTACATTGTCTGTCTACAGAATTGAACAACTTTTTGGATATTACCAGCTCCGATAGTTTGTAGATTGAGAATGCTCTATTTGAATACCCTGTACGACGTCTCACTGACAATTAACGCAATACTAAAACACTCACTTAATGGTGGTCACAGGTTCTGCAGATTTGCTGAAGTATACGAAAATAAAAGAATTGTACAAATATAGACAATATTTTCAGACCACAAAGCCAAATAGAGTTCAGCTACTATTGTATACAACCAATAAATGTTGGTATGGATATATATATATATGCCAACTAGAATGCCATTTCAATGACTATATTTATACCATTACCATCATACATGTAGTCATTTATTTTTTTGATTCTATTTCTGATTCTTGATTGCAACAATGTACTGTTGTACTGATAGGTGTCATTTCTTATAGGTTATGCCATTACTAAATAACAACTGATGGTTAGGTTGGATAAGTTGAACCATAGACTAAGCATATTTACCATTATACTTACAGATTGCAAGCTAATTCTATATTTTCAGAGATATTTTTAATTCTGTGTTTCAAATATAGCACTTAGCTGACAATAAGGTCAGGAAGTATTGAAAATGACCATCACTTCCTGCATATGTGCCATTAATGATGTAAACATAACATACAACCACTATGAGAAAACTATAAAAGTATGTTAACTATTGATTATGATAAATTAGCCACATGGCTAAGACCTTTTTACCTCAGCACTAACACAGTCAGAGAAAAACAAAAGTACAAAAGGAGACACAGTGCAATCTATATATATAAGGACTGAACCATCTTCCACCTCTACACCCTAAGCAAATGCAATCTCCAAAGTTCCAACGACAGTTCTATTTCCTTTCAAATGAAGTAACTGTAAAATTTTACCATAGAGTTTAACTTAAATACTTTTCTAAGCATTATAAATACACAATATATTGGTATGTTTTTAATTTAACTGAATTTTGTAGAGGATTTTTTTCCAGATTTCTTTAAAAACCAAAATAGAATTGAGTACTTTTGTGGGGAAAACAATCTTTATCTTGGTAAAAGTGTTAAACATATGTAAATATTAAAGAACACATAGCAGAACATTAAGGATAAATATTCAGAGGAATACTAAAAATAAAAACTTCAAAACTCCAAATATAGTGCTTTATGAGGATTTTGGTTTAGAAATCAATCTTTAACCTTAATTTCCTCAATGTTGATGTCATTTTACAACATCATAATACTCATACACACAATAAACAATGTCTCAGAAAATCAAAAATCTATTTGAACAAATAAAATATGAAAAGGTCTTTAAAATGACAAATATTATAATTATTAATAATGCAAACCATTCCAACAGATTTGATGGTAGTGGATGTGCAGTAACATAAGGTACTGGATCTTTGATGATGCGAAGATAATCCTGTTTCAGTCGTTGTGTTGCTGAATTTCCTTTACGAGTCATTTTCAGTATAAACTATTGTATCTGAAAGAAAAAATCTTGTTGACATTTTTATACATTTATGTATATCTGTGTCCAAGTCTAAACCCCCTTGAAACTATAAACAAGATGTTTGAATGAAAGAACTTCTATAAAATAAACTAATACAGATAAGTTAAATTTTAAAATCAAAAGAAAACTTGAACAACAAAAATTATATTAAATAGAAATATATAGAGGATTAGAAACTTTTATGGACTGCTCCTGCCTAATGAGGACATTTGTAACTGCTAGTGCAGGTCATTAATCTATCAAACATAGCAAGTTATGGGGTTTAATATAGGTGAGACCGTGAGAAAGAATCGAGATGCATGGAATCCAGAAAAGCAATACGAAGTAAAAGACCATATTTGATTGAAATCAATGCAGTGATTGCAGTACTGGGATAGCTGGAGAGTTGTATTGAAAAATGGCCTATTTCATTTTCTGTATTGCCAGTATTATGTGAAGTCAAGAATCTGATTGTAGTTGGTGATAACACAGGTGTTACAGTAATGTATAACGTTCCTTTATCCTCCAAGATAGATTATCCTCAGGAACAAGGTATCTTTTAGATAACATAAATCTGTTTATTTCTGTAAAAGAAGTTTCATTCTTTTCCATGTTTTGAGTGTTCTACTAGATATGAAAAAAAACAACAACATAGAATTCAGATTTTACATAATCTATAAAGTTTGTAATTTTATTTTGGAACAAATGATATGGTTGAGGAGTTGAGATTTAGTTGACAATAATTAAAGTAGCCATTTTACCAATGTGTCATCAACATACTTTTCCAGTCACGGTTTCAGAGGGGCAGACTGTACATTGGAGTACCTTAACAAAAGCTAAATAAAACATCCTCTTTCATATATCAACTACTACCAATCCCACTATTGGCATCATCACGGCTACTGAAGAAGCTTCCAGGAAACTCCTGACCACATATACAAAAATGAGCATATATTACTCTGAACAACACAATATTTGCTACTGGAGAAAATTCAAATGATTTGAGGTAATTTGATGGTGCTGATTTCAAAAATGTTGTCAGAGTTTGTCCATCACCTCTAGAATTTGAGTTATTGAAATATCCCAATATTTTATCAGCACTATGTGAAACTACATACAATCAACTCAGTACAATAGATTTATATTGTGAAATTAAGTTTACTCGAACAGTTTAATGGGTTAAAGGCATACAGTTTTGATAACTTCAAACAATGCCTTTATTGTATTGATGTAAAATTACAAATATATTGTTTATATATGCTATTTGTTCTTGATATAACTGTAGCAAGTTGCACCACTTCTGCTTCATTCCCACGTTCACCTGCTCCACCCAGGAATCATGAAACCCTCATGTGCTCAGTTTTATAGAATATTCGAGAAGTCCCTCGACTGAGCATAAAAGGGGTGGAATCAGACGGCTCTCTCTCAGTTGCCTCTCACTCACTCAGCTGGTCACTTTGTCTCGCTTCTCGCAAAGTAAAAAAGTCTGATGTTTTTCCTCGCATAATACCCTCGATATAATCAAATTCTGCAAACCTTTAGTTTTTAAAATCTTTTAAACTCTAATTCTGTAAACATAAATTGTATATTGACTCACATTCAAAATTTTATTGAACTACTATTTTATGAATGTATGTCAATAAATTTGGTATCAAATTGTTGATTATAATTCAAATTTCAGTATTATACATTAGTTAATTTCTAAATTTAAAAGTAAATATTAAAAACACACTAAATATCGATTTTTGTGTGTTACGTGGTATGTTCAATGCAGCATTGGTTCAAATTAGATGTTTGTGATGTCCAAATACAAAGTATATAGTTTCTTATGAATAAGATACTCAAATTACAGATATTGACAAGCTAGAATATAAAATAAGAACCTCATATCTTTTCTATTTTCTGAGATATCAATATATATATTGAATCAACCAAGGTGGCTCCACCCACCTCTTCAATTTTTGAAAATATTTTCTCACATATACCAACTTTACTCAATGACATGTGTATAACCAATCAAAAACTTGTAACATCCCCTAGTGGCTTTCTCAACCTCTTTGAAGTATTTGGGTAGCAAACTCATTCTTTTCATGCTAGATTCCATATTCATTTTATTGAACTACTATTTTATGAACGTATGTCAATAAATTTGGTATCAAATTGTTGATTATAATTCAACTTTAAGTATTATACATTAGTTAATTTCTAAATTTAAAAGTAAATATTAAAAAAACACTAAATATTGTAAAGTAATTAAATGTTGTAAGAAAAATAACTTAAATTTAAGAACTTGTTAATAAACAGTAATAATGTATATACATATATAATGTATTGTAACTGAAATGTGACTGTATATTACAAAATACTAGTCCACTAAAACACAGCCAAAACAGATCACTTTGTGAAGGCCAGTTTTATACTCTTGGATACAGTAACATGAGTGCACGTACATCGCATCATTGCAACTTCTGTAATGTTAGCCAGGCAAGGTTGAAAGGTCAATATAACATAAACAATAAATATATATAATTTTATGAGATTTAAGCTATTTAGACTAAAAATTTGTGTTATAATTTGTAGTCATTCTTGAAAGAATAAAGCATAATTTATATTTATTTCCTGATTTTTTATGGTGGATATGACGTTGGTCAAATCAGTTGAACCTGTACAGAGATTCATTGGTGAAGATAATAGATAAAATATAAAGTTTTTTCCTTAAAGACATTTGATAATGATCTGGAGGTTATAAAGATTTTGCATAAAAGTATATTTTATCTTAAAATCAAAATTACTCTACATGTTGGATAGTCAATATTCGAAAACAAAAACAAAAAACATTACTTAAAAAACCTTAAGACTTAATACAAATATTAGATATTTCGCGTATGAAAGCCATGTAACGTTTACGGATAATTTGGAAAATTTTGTGAAGATATGCTACTAATTTAAAAGTTATAGCATTAAAACTCTTAACAAGCACAAAATGGTTACGAGGTCGGTCCATGGGACCGAGACCGTGCTGAAAGAACTAATCAAGGGTCTGAACTTAATTTTGGATGAAACAATAAACCTGAATTAAATATTGGTTTTTCAAGTAATGAAAGATGACTTTCTTGTGGTTCACATAGACATTTGGTCAGGCATGTATGTCATGAAACTCAAGAACATCCATCAGAGATATGCCTTCTTATAAACAACAGGAAAATTTTGGATGAAACAATAAACCTGAATTAAATATTAGTTTTTCAAGTAATGAAAGATGACTTTCTTGTGGTTCACATAGACATTTGATCAGGCATGTATGTCATGAAACTCAAGAATGTCCATCAGAGATATGCCTTCTCATAAACAACAGGAAAATTTTGGATGGGAAAGAAATTAGTACAAATAAACAAACTTGACAAAACCCTTTCATGTCCCTATTAAAACCTCAACATAATACTATATTTGAAGCTTCTCTTTCAAATAGCTAATAACAAATTTCATTGTTTTATTATCAGAGGTGCTTCAATTTCTATTCTTAATGTATATTTAATACCTGATGAGAAAAATCTTGCCATACTCTGGTGGTCCAATCAATACTGCTAATGGTGTGGAACGTATTCCAATTAGTATACTTCATTGTAGGTATATTTTGTACGGCTGTATGTTTAATCACACATCAAATATTTTGTCAACTATAGCCTATGATGTTATTTTACACCATTATTATGATTGTATCTCAGGGCAATTAATTACATTTCTACATGTCTAAACAGCCAACTGTACAACTATATTACATGACCAACACACGTATCTTATCTAGTCGTAAATCAACTGTCAGTTCATCTAATGATATAGGCTAATTATAAATAAAATATCAACATGGCAGTACCTTAAACCTCAATCAAAAAAGAAAAATTAAATTTATTTCTGACAAACTTGGTAAAATAAGTCTGTTAACATGATATTAAAACTTAAATTTCATTACCAGTATTTTCGTCATTTTATAGAATATCTGAATTTAAATGAAATGTAATTGAAAGACACATCAATCATATGTTGAAGGATGACATCACTGAGCTTTTTGTAATTCTTCTTTAATTGTTATTGTTCCTATAAAAACGTTGAAGGACATGAGATTATATGTTGAATATAGAAAACTCAACAGCTACAGAGAAGGACATATATCCATTGCTACACACTGATGATGAACTTAATTTCTTAAACAGACTGAAATTTATAAGCATTTGAGACTTGTCTTTTGATCACTGGTAAGTATTCATTAGCCCTGTCAATAGTCCTAAAACAGCATTTACATCTAATCGTGGCTTGTTTCAAATTAAAGTTTTGCCATTTGGGCTATGCAATGCACCTTCAACATTTCAGAGACTATTGAACAGAGTTTTATTTGATTTACTTTAAAAATGTACATTAGTACATATAGATTACATGGTCAATAGGCTTATCTCTGATTTTCTAACAGTGAAGTTAGATAGATGTCATTTCTGTAGATCTGAATTTCCTTTCCTTGAACATATAATTCCTGATGTTGTAAAAGTGGATTCTTATAAAATAAAAAGTTCTTAAGTTTTCCTGTACTTCTCTCTCTCTCTAGGTGCCATACCCAGTTTGAAAATTGGTAGTCATGGTTCTCCATAGGATCCTGTTTTTGTACGTTTCAAAATCTCAGTCACACTGACATTCATTTGCTTATGCTACTGATGTATTTTAACCTTGGTCTTCCTCAACTGTTTTTTTATACCCTCTATTTTTTTAGTAATTACCATATTTTCAAGTTAATCCTATCTTGTGTGTCCTAGGAAACTCAATTGTGTTTCTCTGATGGTTATGATCACCTTCCTCTGTGTCTCTGCTCTTCTCAGTACTTCCTCATTTGTTATATAGTCTGTCCACAGAACGTGTAGCATTCTTCTATAAAACCACATTTCTGTGGCTTCAAGTCTTCCTGTGCTGAAGAGAATTAAATAATTGAGGAAAATCAACAGGATGTG